CCTCACTTACTATTGTAATTTTTAATATTCTATGCAAAGTGATTTATTTGAGTAAAAGTTCAATTTTTTTGTAGTTTTCGTTTAGCTATTAAAGGGGAAAATATAAATAATTTTTATTAGAAAGATGTTAAATTATGAAAAAAAATAGATCACATAAAGTACAACCGCTTTGTTAGACGATATAATAAACTTAAGAAAAAAAAAATAGATCACATAAAGTTCAATTTTTATTTTGTCTTATTGAAATATTCATCAAATGATAAGTACACCCTAAGTTTACATTGTATCTAAAAAAAAGTTATTTAAACTTGCTATTATGTTGAAAGCAAAGTCTTGATTTTCTGTCCATCCAGATGGTTCTTGCAAAGTACAATCTATCTCAAGATCTTTAGGGATATGAACATGTTACAATATTGGAAATGTATTAAAGCATACAATATATACAGTATATATTATATATAGTGGATAACTACATATATTATTTTCCAAGAGACTTGGTTGTTCAGAAAAATAAAGCTTATTGATTAGGATAAAGAAATTTTAAGATAATGAAAATAGTTACTGTTTTATTAAAATTCTAAATTTAAGAAAGTAATTAAATTTTCAAAATATGGTAGAAATTTCATCATCAATATGAAAATACTGAACAATATATTTCTAATTCCTATTAGCATTCACACAAATATTTAACAAGCTCTAATTTCTTAGAAACAAATATAAACCTTAATAATAAAAATTAAAATCTCTTATATATTTTTACTACAAATTCGCATAAGCATTAAGTTTAGATGTTTAAAATAATCAATGATCAAATCTTCATGTTTGGAGTTGAATCAATTAATTTTTCTATCCTAGTCTAGGTCATAACATTGTGTCCAATAATCAAATATTCAATTAATCAATTATCATGTAATTAACGAGAATAAAACACAAGAGTAATGAAAAAAAATATTGAATAACATAAATCACAAAAAGTAATAAAGATATATTATGTCAAATCTCTGTAAATAAGGGAGTTAATTAGTCTTATACATTATGAGCACCAAAAAATAATAATGATAAATAACAATCGTCTTTGGAATGAATATCAACTTTCTCTCCTTTTTTATGAAGTTTCCTCTCTAAAAAGTATTAAATTTAATTATGTAAATTCTTCTATTTATAAGTTTTCCAAAACTCATAGCTCGCTAGACTGAGAGTGAAATTTATACTAATTTTGTACTTGAAGTAATAAACTCTAGATAACTGATTTTATTAATAACTGATTTTGTTGACATATTCTTTAATCTTCAGTGATTTCTACTTATATGCAAATTATAAACAAAATACTTATTTTTTTTTTCTAGTTTATTAAAAAAAACCTTAATTATCGAATAAAAGATAAAATACTTATCTTTTCAAAAATTATCTAATAAATCCTTAATTATTTAAAAAGATAATAATAAAAATACCAATAAAAGATAAAAATAACAAAATAAAAAACATGATAATGTTAATTATCATACCACTAGCACACACAAAAAGTCTTTTATGTAACTTATTTTGGACATTTTACATGAGTCTTAGATTTGATGTTTTGCATAACCTAAATTTATATTGCATGAAAAACACACAACATAAACTTACATAAGATATGAAGAGACCAACATAAATTTACATTAGACACTATTACAAGTCCGATGTAAATTCATCATTTTATGTTGGATACTACCAGGTCTGGCATAGAATAGTTTATCACCAATAATAAATGTTGCAACAAAATGACTATTTCTAATCTTGTTTCAATTTAACCTATTATATATAAAATGAAGAATTTTGCTAAAGTGGAAGAGTGCTAGTGGAAAACGGCAAGTGTATCAATTACATGCAACAAGTAATAAATATCTCTCTCTATAGAGACTTCTACAACAAATGATAACCCTCACGATTCACAATTCAATTAGACACAATGATAACAAAAATACAAACAAATTCTTTTTGTGTTTTTATCAAACAGTTGGTGTGCAATGAGAAATTTAACATAGAGTATTTACAATTGTCAATACTAGATTTCATTCACTTTTTCCCATGCATACACAAACATCTAAATTTCATATTCAAGTCACACACAAAAATGCTTAAATCTTATTATTAATGACTTTGAGTCTATGATAACTCATCAAGTTTCAGTTCCTTGAATCCTCAACAAACAACCACGCAATAAGTTCAAGAGTCTTAAGATTACTAATGAATCATGTTTTACCCCTAGATATTAGGTATTAAACTTCAGTTTTAGGTTCAAAAGACATTTTCAAGCACCTCAAGAACCAACAATCAAGCCATAGATGATCAAGCCACGATAAACATTAAGCATAGAAATTAATACTAACTTTGTGATGTTAATTATTATACACAAGATTCAGTTTATTATATCTAATCTCAACAAATAGGGTTAGCTCTCCACGGTGGAGAACCTAGGGTTTAAAAATAAGAAGAAATTGAAACCAAAGAGAGATATATGTCTATCCCCAAGGTTCTTTGTCTCTACTTCATGCTCCAATTGTGCTTCCTCTTTGCATTTCCATTTTCAATTCCTAACTCATCTTCCTCCTCAATCCAAAAGGGGCAAAATTACCATTGATGAATATTGAAGCTCAAGGAGGAGAAGGGAAAGCTTCCTAACACCCCAAACACACCTCAATGTGCCTCTCCTAATCGTTCTAGGTGAATAATGAAATTTGGGAAGAGAAAATCCCCAAAACTCTTGCAAAAGCATGATTAAATACCTGCTTTCACATATCTGATAGACTCACCTAGTGACTCCATTCTCGCCTCGAGAGGTCTAAAAATTGATGCTCTATAACTTGTAACTCATTAGACGAGCCATATTTCTGCCCAACGATTCGAATATTGCAAGTTTGGGATATCATTTTCACTCTGCAAGTAGCCAGCTCGCTTGGCCTTGTTCACTTGAGTAGATTTGAGAGAGAGTAATTGAGGGGATTTGAGAAGATTTGAAAATAAATTTTTTTGTTGTTTATTTGAGTGAATTTGGAGGTAAATGAGATTAGATTTGAAAGTAAAGTTTGTGAGAATTAGTGTAGGATTTGATTGACGTGACAAATTAAAAAAATTTACTTCCAAATCCAATCTCATTTACCTCCAAATTCACTCAAATAATAAACAAAAAAAATTATTTTCAAATCATCTCAAATCCCCTCAATTACTCTCCCTCAAATCCACTCAAGTGAACAAAGCCTTAATGATTTCGCCTAACGCTCAATGGTGATTTTCTAGTTGTTCGGGCAGTCCAAGGTAGTATAATCCTATAAGTGTGTCTTTTCTTCATGTTTAGTGTGATTCTAGTGCCCCTAAGCAGGTATTTGTCTAAAAAATATTCTTTATTTTCTAATCATGCTTATTTGAGTTTCAACTTGTTTTCTTTCAATAAAACTGTTTTCTAATAGCTTATTTTACACACTCAAAATAAATATTAAAGGTAAATAAAAAAATAAATATCTAACTTGGCAAAATTTAAATTCTTTTTCCCCTTCTTCTTCGTAGCAAACACAACTTCAGGGTCATCATCAACACCATTATCATTACTCTTACTTTTAGCATTGCCTTTCTTACTTTTCTTCTTTCCCGCTGCAACGGGTTTCTCTTCCAGGGCCGGCTCCTCAGAGAGGTTTGTTCTAATGGAATACTTATCATCGTCGATGACCACCCTTCTTCTTAGATTTCCCGCCACCGCCTTGCTGCGACGCGTTCTCCTCGTCCCTCGCAGTCGGCTTCTTCCTCCCCATGTCTGATTAGGGTTTTCTCTTCTCCCGCGAGTATGAATGGAAACGACGCTGCGTTGGAATCACAAAACTACGAAATGGAAAGGAAAATCGCCTCGACGGAATAAGAATAAGATCTATTCGCAGAAACTCTACGCCAGAGAATAAATTAAAGGAAAGAAACGCACCTTAAGTGAATCAGACGACAACGCAGAGAATCTGCCACACAAGTGAAAGGAAAACGCCGATCGCAAGACCTTCTTCATCGGGGTTTGGATTTCTTCATTCGATCCCCCACTTGTTCTTTCAACGACTCCCTTTCCAAGAACGGGGTTCCCTGGAACCGCGTTGTTCACTTGCTCCGTGCAAAAGGGTATGCTTCGTTCTCCCTTACACTGCATTCAGTTCTTGAAGGAATAAAGAAAGATCATTCAGGTAGTTTGGGTTTTGCTAGCATCTTTGCTCCTCCTGATTTCATGTTGATTGGCCCCAACCCTTCGACTTTGCTTCAAAGAGCTTTGAGGCTTCATATTCTTCCCGAGAGGTTTCGTTACGAAGAACTCGCTTCTCTTCTGGTTAGGACTCTCTTGAAGACGCTCGTGCCTGATGAGCTTCTTGAGATTGATGGGATTCTGGATTTCGCGCCTGGCATGTTCGTTAATGGTGTTGANTCTACGCCAGAGAATAAATTAAAGGAAAGAAACGCACCTTAAGTGAATCAGACGACAACGCAGAGAATCTGCCACACAAGTGAAAGGAAAACGCCGATCGCAAGACCTTCTTCATCGGGGTTTGGATTTCTTCATTCGATCCCCCACTTGTTCTTTCAACGACTCCCTTTCCAAGAACGGGGTTCCCTGGAACCGCGTTGTTCACTTGCTCCGTGCAAAAGGGTATGCTTCGTTCTCCCTTACACTGCATTCAGTTCTTGAAGGAATAAAGAAAGATCATTCAGGTAGTTTGGGTTTTGCTAGCATCTTTGCTCCTCCTGATTTCATGTTGATTGGCCCCAACCCTTCGACTTTGCTTCAAAGAGCTTTGAGGCTTCATATTCTTCCCGAGAGGTTTCGTTACGAAGAACTCGCTTCTCTTCTGGTTAGGACTCTCTTGAAGACGCTCGTGCCTGATGAGCTTCTTGAGATTGATGGGATTCTGGATTTCGCGCCTGGCATGTTCGTTAATGGTGTTGAGATTGTGACCAGAATCTGCCAGGAAGAATGAAGCAGTGTAAGGATTTCCATGGAAGACAAAGGAGCAAGTTGCATCTCCACCGTTGTAGAAGAGAAAAGGAAATTGGGGATTATGGTTTGGAAACCCGCGACAGAAAGAGAACCAGAATTGGGATTTATTTCCTGAATTAAAAATCCTAAACTTTCAATATACACATCACCCAAACTCTTCCTCTCAAGTAATTAAATTTAGGCCAACTAAATGACACAACGACATTTTTTTTGTATCTGTACAAATCACCTCCATAATAATTTCAACATTATCAATTTTAACATCGTTAAAACTGATAGTACTGAAATGAAACAATTTTAATATCATAGAATTCAATATCTTCATTTTTAAAATGGGGATACTAAACAGAAATACACATTTTAACATGAAAACAAAGTAAACATTTATATATCATAAATACTAATAAATATTAAATAATAAATACAAAATATAAATATTAAATGCTATGCATTAATTACTATATAATAAGTGACGTATACTAGTTACTATACAAAAAATATATTAAAGAAACTTAAAATAATAAAAGAAATGAGAAGAACCAAATAAGAATTATATGAAAAATTTACGACTATATATATTTTACATTATCATTCATATTAAAACATTTGATATTTAATATATATATATATATATATATATATATATATATATATATATATATATATATGTGTGTGTGTGTGTGAGAGAGATTATATTGAATAATAGTTGCAAAAATGATGATCCATGTATTGTTTTTTGTCTTGCATTTTTTGAGTACTCATCTTTGCCTTAAAGTTGAAGGAACTCAAACTATACTAAAGAGAGATTTGGAGTTAGAGAGACAACTTCGACTTATTAATAAGCCTCCTCTAAAAAGTATCTATGTACGTTTCAACTTTCCTATGTTTCATCATATATATGTGCCTTTGGTTGTTATCACACTACATGATTTACTAGTTTTATTGGTATGTGTTTTATTTTGGATTTAATAGACAAAGTTTGGAGATATTATTGATTGTATTGACATTTACAAACAACCATCATTGGATCATCCTTTATTACAGGACCATAAGTTGCAGGTATATACCCAAATCCTTTAATTACGTTGAAATTTGAATTTCATTTTATTTTTAATATTTAAGATTGGTTTTCAACCTTCTTTTACAATGCTTTCCATGGTTTGATATTTACTTTTTTTTCTTTCTAATTTTAGAGGAAACCTAATTTTCATAATGTGATTGGAGAATCAAGACAGAAAAATTTAGGAATTAAATCCATGTTTGAATTGAGTAAAGATGAATGTTCGAAAGGGACTGTTCCTATACTTAGAACAACAAAGGAGGACCTTATTCGAGAACAATCAATGTTAAACGATCATATATTGATTAAAGACCTTCCTGGTGTTCATGTAAGATGTTTCATAAAAATACTTTTAAATGTTGATACTTTCTTTTATAAATTGTATTCTACATTTTTTTAATCTAACTATTTATTTGTATATGTCAAATTTTTTAGCTAGCAGAAATTTCTCTTAGACCAAGTTATGCTCCTTTTTACGGAGTGGCAGGAATAAATAGTATTTATAATCCACGAGTTGATTTAAAGTTTCAAATATCTATGACTCATGTATGGGTTGAAAGAGGAACAGTAGAATCCAATAATAAAATTTCATTAGGATGGCATGTAAGTTATAATTTTCACATTTAACTTTTCTTACATTTATATATGTATACTTTAAGAAAATAAAAATATTTTAATTAATTCAATGCACTATTATCAGGTGGCTCCAGGAATATATGATGATTATGACTCTCATTTTTACACCTCATGGACGGTAAAGGATTTTTCTTTTCTCGTTTCAATTTTTTATGTATAAATATATACGTAAGGTATCATTACATCCTAAATAAAATTTCATTAATTAATTTATCATATTAATATCATTATTCAAAATTCGATGTTGTATTATAAATTGTTGCAGACAGATAACTACAATAAAACAGGATGTTACAATATTCGATGTCCAGGTTTTGTTCAAACGAGCAAAAAATTTTATCTTGGTCAACGCATAACCAACACATCTATTTGTGGTGGACAAACTATTGACAGTTTCCTTGCTATTTCTCAGGTAATAATATTTTATATAACTTTCTGTATAATAAAACGGTAGTAGAGCTAGATTTAATTCGTTTGAGATTAATATATATTTTAATTTCTTGAATGCATTTTTTAAGTGAATATAATGATAAAAAAGTTAATATTGTATGATTGACATAATTAACATTGGGTATGATTAAATGTGTGTATCTATTTTCAGGATACAAAGAGCAAAAATTGGTGGATAATTATAAACAACAAGTTCATTGGATATTTTCCAGCAAAATTATTCTCGAACATGAGCACAGCTGATCATGTAGGATGGGGTGGAAGAACAAAAACTCGTCCTAGTACTGATAGTCCTCAAATGGGGTCTGGACATCTTCCTAATAATACTGCTTCTTACTTTAGACAAATGTGGTTTAAAGATCCATCTGCTGTAGCTCGTGGACCTAAATCGAATCAAGTGTATCCCTTGGTTGACAAACCCACTTGTTATGGTATTAAAAACTATGGAGATAAAAGAGGTCACAATGGCTACTATTTTGAGTTTGGAGGACCTGGCGGTAGTTGTGGCGATTAATCTTCTTTCAATTACATAAAGTACAAGCGATTTGATAGATTATATAATACTTTATAGTTTTTATTGTCTTATTATTGAAATATTCATCAAATGATAAATATAAACTAAGTTTATATTGTATCTAACAAAAAGTTATTTAAGCTTATTATTATGTTAAAAACAAAGTCTTCATTTTCTGCCCCTCAGTGAATAATGAGTATTTTTAATCTTGTTTCAATTTAGCCTATTATATAACAAATAAGGATTTTGATAGAGTAGAATAGTGATAATAAAAAAATGATAAGTGTATCGATTGTACGTAAGTAACAAGTATTGTTCTCTCTACATAAACTTGTAAAACACATGACAATCCTAAAAATTCACAACTTAATTAGACACAAAGATAACAAAAACACAAAGAAACTCATTTTTTATTTTTATCAAACAATTGATGTGCAATAAGAAATTTAACATAGAGTATTTACAATTTGTCAAGACTAAATTTACTTATTCCCATAAATACATAAACATCTCAATTCCATATTTGAGTCAAAATCAACTCACAAAATACTTAAATCATATCGCTAATGACTTTTAGTTTATGATAACTCATTAAGTTTTAATTCCTTGAATCTTCAACAAACAATCATTCATTAAGTTCACCAGTCTTAGGATTACTAATGATGTTTTATCCATAGATACAAGCTAAATTAGGTATTCAATTTAAGTTTTAGGTCAAAAGAAATTTTCAAACACCTCAAGAACAACAATCAAGCCATGGATGATCAAGTCACAACAAACATAAGCATAAAAATCAAATATTAACTTTGAAATGGGAAAACTTATGTATTAACGTCACAAAATACACAATATTCAGTTTATTACATCTAATATCAACAAATAAGGTTAGCTACCCACAATGGAGAACTTAAGGTTTAAAAATAAGAAGAAATTGAAACCAAAAAGAGATGCATGCCTTTCCCCAAGGTTATTTGCCTCTACTTCATGCTTTAATTGTGCTTCCTCTTCGAATTTCCATCTTCAATTTACTACTCATCTTCTTCCTCAATCCAAAACAAGAAAAAACACAATTGATGAATATTGAAGCCCAAGGAGGAGAAGGGAAAAGTTCCCCTCAAACAGCCTCCAAGGGCCTCTCCCAGTTGCTTCAAGTGAATAATAAAGTGGGGAGGAGAGAATCACAAAACTATCGCGAAAAAGTGATTAAATACTCACTTTCGCATATTAGAATTGACAAACTTACCAAGAGATTTCATTCTCGGCCATTGAGACCTAGAATTGATGTTCTCTAACATGTGATCTACTAGGTGAGCCATATTTTTTGCCAACGATTTGCTCAATGGTGATTTTCTAATCGTCTGAGTGTGGTGCAAGGTAGTATAACTCTACAGGTGTGTCTTTTCTTTATGTTTGTAATGTTGGGTGTATATTTGTCTAAAAATAATTTTTTAACTAAAGCACAAGAAAACACACTAAACTTAAGAACAAAACAAAGTAAAAACTATGAAGGAGTTGATTTATTTATAAAAATATACATATAAAAGTACGTAAAATCAATGTTATGAAAACTTGAGACAGATGTTGATTTACATGGGAACAAGATTCAGTTGTACAAGTTGATCAATATTATGTTAAACCTAGTATTGTCCAACGTAAATTACTGCATTTATGTTGGATCTATTCTAGCGTCCAACGTAAATGTACATAGTGTGTTTTTTACGTGACATAAATTTACATCATGCATTTTTCACGTAACTCAAGTTTTTGTGTTCTGCAATATTAAATATATTGCTAATGTAATAAACATAAAATATCTTACATAGAAGGCTTTCGTTGTGTTAGTGCTATGAACTTTATGAAAGTAATGTAAAATATCATCATGAACAAAAGATACTTAATGTTTGTCATGTAACTAATAGAATTTCAAAGTATACTATAATATAACCTTCACATGTTATTTGTTGAGAAAAATGTTTTGCATTATTTTCATAAATTGTAGGGTTAAAATACTTTATAATTTAGTTTAGAAACAAATATTTTTATTATAATAATTTAGGAACTAAAAACATATTTAATTTTCAAAATATTTATTAAAATATTAATAAAAAATATATCATAAATACTAATAGAAAAATGTTTTTTACAACTTTTTTTGATAATTTTTTTACAAAAACAGTCTATGTGTTAGTTTGTGATTTGTTCGTTTCAAATATACATACCAGTAAAATAATGACACGCAGTATATTATCAAAAAAGTTGTTAAAAAGAGTTGTTAACCTATTATCATTCAAACTAATAAATGTTAAATAATAAATACTAAATATCAATATTAAATGCTATGCATTAATTACTATATAATTAGTAACGTATACCAGTTACTACACAACAAATATATTAAAAAAATTAAAATAGTAAATGAAATGAGAAGAACCAAATGAGCATTATATAACAAATTTACGACTATAATTTTACATAAAAACATTTGATATTTTAATTATATATATATATATATATATATATATATATATATATATATGTGTGTGTGTGTGTGTGAGAGAGAGAGAGAGATTGTGTTGAGTTGAAAAATGATGATCCATGTATTATTTTTTATCCTGCAATTTTTGAGTACTCATGTTTGCCATAAAGTTGAAGGAACTCAAACTATACTAAAAGAAGATTTGGAGTTGGAGAGACAACTTCGACTTATTAATAAGCCTCCATCAAAAAGTATCCATGTATGTCTTCACTTTAGTATGTTTCATCGTAAGCTCTTTAGTTGTTATCGCACTACATGGTTTACTAGTTTTATGGGTATGTGTTTTATTTTGGATTTCATAGACGGAGTTTGGAGACATTATTGATTGCATTGACATTTACAAACAACCATCATTGGATCATCCTTTATTAAAGGACCATAAATTACAGGTATATACCCAAATCATTTAATTACATTAAAATTTGAATTTCATTTCGTTTTCAATATTTAGGATTAGTTTTCAACCCTTCTTTTATAATGTTTTCCATGTTATAACATCCGCTTGTTTTTTTTTTATATCTAATTTTAGAGAAAACCAAACTTTCAAACTGGGTTTGGAAAATCAAGTCAGAAAAATTTAGAAACTAAATTCATGTTTGAATTGAGTAAAGATGAATGTCCGAAAGGGACTGTTCCTATACTTAGAACAACAAAGGAGGACCTTATTCGAGAACAATCAATGTTAAACGATCATATATTGATTAAAGACATTCCTGGTGTTCATGTAAGATGTTTCATAAAAATACTTTTAAATGTCAATACTTTCTTTTATAAATTGTATTCTACATTTTTTTAATCTAACTATTTATTTGTATATATCAAACTTTTTAGTTTGCAGAATTTTTTCTTAGACCACATTATGCTCCTTATTACGGAGTGGCAGGAACAAATAGTATTTATAATCCACATATTGATTCAAAGTTTCAAATCTCTATGTCTCATATATGGGTTGAAAGCGGAACAGTAGAATCTACTAATAAAATCTCGTTAGGATGGCATGTAAGTTATAATTTTCACATTGAACTCTTCTTGCATTTATATATATATATATATATATATATATATATATATATATATCACTATTAGTATTAATTTTAAGAAAATAAAAAATATTTTAATTAATCTAATTAATGTATTATAATCAGGTGGCTCCAGAACTATATGGTGATTATGCATCTCATATTTATACCTCGTGGACGGTAAAGGATTTATCTTTTTTTCGTTTCAATTTGTGTATAAAGATATAATTAAGCTAGATCCTAAATAAATTTTAATTAATTAGTTTATCATATTAATATTATTATTCAAAACTTGATGCGTTATAAATTTTCAGGTAGATAACTTCAAGAAGACAGGATGTTATAATCTTCGATGTGCAGGTTTTATTCAAACACATAAATTATTTCATCTTGGTCAACGCATAACCAATGTATCTATCTATGGTGGACCAACTATTGACAGTTTCATTGCTATTTCTCAGGTAATTATTATTTTAATTTATTTGAGATTAATAAATATTTTAATTTGTTGAATAAATTCTTTAAGTGAATATAATGATAAAAAATTAATACAGTATGATTGACGTAATTAACATTGGATATGATAAATGTGTGTATATATTTTCAGGATCCAAAAACCAAAAATTGGTGGATAATTATAAACAATAAGTTTATTGGATATTTTCCAGCAAAATTGTTCACGAACATGAGTTCAGCTGATCATGTAGGATGGGGTGGAAGAACAAAAACTCGTCCTGGTACTAATAGTCCTCAAATGGGGTCTGGACGTTTTCCTGAAAACAGTGGTTGTTACTTTAGAGAAATGTGGTTTAGAGATAGAGGTGATCTTCCTCGTGGACCTGAACCAAGCCAAATTTATCCTATACTTGACAAACCCACTTGTTATGATATTAAAAACTACGGAGACAAAGGACGTCACTATGGCTACTATATTGAGTTTGGAGGGCCGGGTGGTAGTTGTGGCGATTAATCTTCTTTCAATTATATTTTATATCAAATAAACAAAACTATCACAATATATCATTTTCGTATTATTTTCTTTCGTCAACTACATTTATTAATAATGTTGTTATATTGCATCTTTACTTTACTTGGAAAAATTTTGTTTATAGTCAGTCAAACAGTCATACAAGTTTTTTTAGTTTAAACTAATTCTTTTAATTCAATCTTAAATTTTCATAACTTTTTTCATATATATTTTCAGTTACATTTTCATACATCTTAATTTTCTGTTTCATAACTTTATCATTTATTAAATCGCATATACTTTAACTTGTTGAGTTAAAATTTAGTGAACAAAATTTTTCATATATTTAACTCATTCATAACGCTATTCGTGATAGCTGAGACTATTTCAATATTTTTCGACTATTATATTATATATCAAAACGCATGTATTGTAATTAATAGTTTTATGCTTTGAGTTTCATGGTATTACTTAGTTTACTAATGATGTCTTTATACCTAAATTTACTAATGTTGCCTCTATATTTAGTTGTATAATTAAATAGAAAGTAAAAATTTTATCATAGAGCTTGGTTTAGATGTATAGTGATGATTTTCTTTTATACTAATATTAATAAAGTTTTACTATTTTGTTATTGTCATTGGCCAGATATGAAGTTAAAAATTCATCGCTATTTTTCTTCCTTTTTTTTCTTTTTGGGCAAAAGAAAATATCAAATCAAAGTAATAACGTTTAGATTTCTGATTATCTCTTCAGCTTTCCTAAAGTAACGTACACCTCACTAATGTAGCAATATCATACCGGTTTTAATAACTCTAACCATTATCTATTGTATATTTTATTTCTTTTAGGAGACTGGTAATAATGACATTTTAGAAAGAATATTAGACTTTTAATAAAATTTAATATAATTAATATTGCACGTGCCATTAATTGTTCACAGAAGTTGAGGACCAAATTAGAATCAAACTCCGAGGCACTTAAGTGGAAAGAATTGCATCTTAACTAATTGTTATAACATTTGACATAATTATAAATGTTCAATTTAACAATTAGTACTAGAGTTAGGATCCTCATTGATTTTCAAGGACAATTATACTTTGATAACATTTTTTTGATAATATTTTAAGACTGTTTATGTATTGGTCCAAAATTATTCTACAATCAATAATAATAATCATAAACATCAATATAAACCAATCACAGAATAACACGCAGACAGTGTTAAAATATTATCAAAAAAATGTTGTCATAGTATCATTATCCTATTTTCAATGGACAGTTAATAAGTAACTGCTATAACATTTGAATTTAAGAATTCGTATCAGAGTCAGGGTCCTAAATTTAATTTCCAATGGACAATTAATAAGTAACTGCTATAACATTTGACATATTATAAATGTTCAATTTAACAAATTAGTATTAGACTCATAGTCCTGAATTTAATTTCCAATGGACAATTAATAAGTAACTGCTATAACATTTGACATAATTATAAATGTTCAATTTAACAAATTAGTATTAGACTCAGAGTCCTGAATTTAATTTCCAATGGACAAAGTAACTGCTATAACATTTGACAGAATTATACATGTTCAATTTAACTATTAGTATTAGAGTCGGGATCAGTTTAATTTCCAATGGAGAATTAATAAGTAGTTAACCTGTGACAAACACTAGTGAAAAAAAATATTTTTTATAGTTAATCGGTACATAAAAATTGTTTTTTTTTCTTTTTAATTTATATATATAAATTGTAACTATTCAGATCATTACTAAATAATAATATTTAGTACAAAAATGTAAATATACATACTACATATTTATAGTTTTCCAAAATTTTAAATAACTTTATTTTAGTGAAAACATTTTTTATTAAGGAAGACACACTCTTGAATACATGAACACATCAATGTATGTATGCATTCATTTCTATTTATAATTTCACAAACTCGTTGTCGATAATCACTACTGCATGTGAAATGTTTATTCCCATGCACATTTGCAACCATCATAAATAAAAATCACAACCACAAAAAATGAGTTAATAGTCTACTCATTAAAATCCCTAAAGTTATACCTCCAACTTCAATAAGTCAATCTATTTAGTAGTGGCTAGTAAGGATAAATGAGCTAATATCTACTCATTTAAATCCCAAAGTTATACCTCCAACTACAATAAATTAAATCTTTATTTATCAATATATATATATATATATATATATATATATATATATTGTTTCTGTTGAAAGGGTCAGGGTCGATTGTTCCTTTTTGCTCTGCTCTATGCTTCAATCGTCCAATCCTCTTCAATAACGCAATTCACACCAATCGGTTGTTGACCTGCAGAATACACTCTGACGCTCAAGTCAGATATGTCTCTAAAGGAGGTCTCTATTTTGTTAGAATTGGTAAAATGTGTCTATACCTGGACATTGATAATATATTTATAGGTCGTATAGCAATCAAGCTCATTAATTAACCATTAATATTGTATATTCATATTTGATATGGCAATCAAACCATTAATGTCGTATATTCATATTTGATACGGCAATCAAACCATTAATGCCGGTTAATATACCTACTAATTGCTCATAAATGACCGTTGCACTATTAATTAATCTTTAATTACCTAAAGTGGTTGCCTCGACCGATCGGCTACCCCTATCGATAAATTGATTCGCATTGTAACATCAATCGGTATATTTCATAATATATATATATATATATATATAATTATTAAAAATTAAAACCAAACAATATAGATATATAGCTAGAACAATGTATAAAAAAAATAAGGTTAGGATTATCTTCCAAAATTAATTAAACCAAAATAATGTATAAAAATTAGGTTATAAACACCTCACTTAAAAAAATTAAATATCGAAATAATAAATAAAAATAGGATATAAACACCTCATTAAACATATTAAATAAAGAGTATGATAAATATAAATAAAATTAAGATTATGAACAAATCACTAAATAAATTAAATAAACAAAATAATAAATATAAATAAAAATAAGGTTATTAACACCTTACTAAATAAATTAAATAAGTATAAATTAAAAGGAGATTATGAAAATTCACTAAACAAACAAAATAATAAATATAAATAAAATGAGAATATGAATACTAAATAAATTAAATAAACAAAAATAATAAATAAAAATACAAATAAAGTTACGAACACCTCACTAAAGAAATTACATAAATAGAATAATAAATAAAAACAGATTATAAACACCTCACTAAACATAAATTAAATAAATAAATAGTTATGAACACCTTATTAAATAAATTTTTAATATATCAAACCAAATACATCAAACATATAAAAATATATATTCATAATATATAAAAATATATAAATTTTTAAGAACCTTGGTATTACAACTAGTGCTGTCAAAACAGGTCACCTGGCCCGACCCACCACGGGTTGGTCACTAAGTGAGCCAACCCAACGCAGCTCATTAATTAGCAAACCAGAAAAATTCGAATCCGGCTCGACCCAAACAGGTTGCCTCACTGGCTCACTTAATTACAAATTTTTTAAATAAAAAAAATTATAAACTTTTTATAATTCAAATCTAAACAAATTTCACTCCAAACATTGATCTTTAATTAATTTTGAAAATAGGGAACTTAAATAATAAATATTTTTTTTGTAAAATTAAAATTAAATTTTAATAAAATAACATTAGGTAGGTGGGACCGACCCGGTCCACCACGGGTTCAACCCGCGGGTTTAAATGAGCCAGGTTAAAATCTGACCTGCATAAAAAAATATAATTTTTTCAAACCCAACACGGCTCGAACCCGTGGTGGGCCAAGTTGGCCCGCGGGTTGTGACTCATTTTGACAACTCTAATTACAACAATGAAAAACACATTTTGGAGGTAAGGAAACACGAGTTACAACAATGTCAATTTAATGCAAAACATGGACACGAATGACAACACAAAATTCATGAGTTAGGAAGAACATAACAAACCTTAAGGAGAAAAAAAGAGAGAAAAAAGAGAGAATAGAGAACAAATGAGTGAGCCAATAATGGAAATGAAGCAAGGTGAGGAAGAATGGAGAGGATTGCACAATGGTAGTGAAAGTGACACCTCACGAGTACAACAACGATGGAGAAATAGAGTGACATTCACATTCGTAACGACGATGGAGAAATGACAGTGGCATTCACGTCTTCGAGTTGTAGGGCAAAACAAAAGAGTTCTGAAGGGCACAATGAAACAAATGCTTATAATCGAGAATCGAGTTCTAAATATCTAAGAAATTAACTCTAACAAAAGAATCGGCTTCAGTTCTTATAAAACCGAAGTTTATTCTGTCACAAAGATAAAATTAAAAAATAATACCATTTTTAAAATTTTGGGATGACTTTAGATTTCGATTCTTTAAAGTTTGGTTATTTTAGAACTAAACCATATAATTGTATAATTGTGTAAATATTTTCAAAAATATCATCAATGTCATTTTTGAAATTATTTGCAAAACTATAGGCTTCAATTCTTTAAAAAACCAAATACTATACTAGTTTAGACTTCGATTATTTTAGATTTGAAACCTATAGTTGTATAAAAAATTTAAAAAATGTCACTGTATTTTAAAAAACTTTGTTTTACTTGGAACCGAAGTCTATTAGACAATTTAAAAAAAACGCTTTTTAGACAATTTCAAAAAAACGCTTTTTGCACTAATGAAAATTCGAGTATTTAGGCTCTTCACCTTGCAATCTTGAGTATGGAGGACTATATATGATTTGTATGAGATAGTGAATCTCAGTATTTATACAAGTACGAGACATTTATACTCTACACCTTCCAAGCTTGAGCTTGGAAGCTATGGTCCCTCCATGATAGTATAAATCTCGATCTTTAGATGAATAAAATATAATACTTGGATTTAAATATTGAACTTTAAGTTCATTTAGAACAATGAACTCTTAAGCTACAAAGGGAAAATTAATTGCTTTTGCCTTTATAAA